TTAGTTGGGGACGCTTGACTGATTGCACAGACACTATTGAAGAGAGCTGAACTGGATGATGACATCACTGAATCATCAATGAACTGACTTTAACTGAAAAATGACTGTTATTGCTTTCTTGCATTATTGACAAACTATTTTCCTGTTTGATTCTGTAAAGCTGCTTTGACACAACCGGTATTGTATAAAGTGCTTTACAAATAAAGGTGACTTGACTGATGGACAATGAGCTCAGCCTGACAGAACTTCCCTTTGGTAATGTCCTCAGAGTTACAAATGACTAAGAATTAAAACCAATACGGTTTAAGTTTATTTTAGTCTGTAGTCACAATAGTTTATTTCTATAAGAACAATAGAGGTCTGTGATAAGTGCTCGTTTACACAACATGCAGTTCTGAAAACATTAGTATGAAAGATGCGCTGTACAACGCGCCTAACCGAACAATGACCGTTATTAACTCTTTTATTAACGGCTCTCACCGGTGCAGCGATGCTGAACAGCCGTTTCCGGTGACTCGCGTAAAGCAGCGCGGCTGCGAGGAGCGCGAGACTCGCACCGGACACCGCGGCGCCCGTTACCGGACCCCACATCGCGTCCCGGGGCTCTGACGACTCAATCAGCACATTTTCCGAACACGAGTCCGATGAGGCGTTAAAGCGCATCTCAAACGCGCGCACAGCCTGCTTTAACGAGCGCGATTCAGGCGCATTCTCCTACTGTCCGCTGTACTGTTACTTTTGTTTGGCAGGGTTTGCAGCCAATCGCAGCGCGGCATCGCCTGAGGAATGTTGTTCATTGAGCCAATCAGAGGCGCGCGGGGGCGGGGTTTCTCGCAGTTTCCAAACCTCGGAAAAGTTGTGCAAAACGGAACTGGAAAAACAAACAGCGAAGTGCGCTCATGAGGTGTTTACTCACACGTCTGCCGCTGCTGGGGACATGAACACAACACCAATTTGACTAAAATTAAAAAAGTGACAAGGCATAATAGGACCCCTTTAAGCAATCGTTAAACTCTTTCATTTTTAAATTTTAAACTGTTTAGTTTTAAAAGTTTGCTTAAATGGGTTGTTGACATGACATTGCATTTTCAGTGTCACACAGTATAAAAAATGTTAATAATTAATATTGTCATCATTTAAAATGTCTTTGTCTTACATGGACCCATTGTTATAAAAACTGCTTTGTTATTAGATTTATTTATTTATTTACATTTTTGAGCTAAATCTCAAAATTGTCCTATGGTGTGACTGTCTCACTCATGATCAATAAATTACAACTTGTATAAATTAAAAAGAAAAGCTTACAATTGTTAATAAATACCTGCATAATTTTACAAGTGTCTATTTTAGCAATTGGCAATCATTTTTTCATCCATATATGTCTAAAAGCATATGAACTTGATACATTATGTCACTGAAAACGATGTCCTCCGGTGTGACATCATATCCTGTTTTTAAACTCCACACAACTTTAATTATTTGAAGGACCAGGAACAGTGTTTTATAAAAAAACGTTTTTTACTGGATATTTGTCAACTACCCAAATATATTTTCCTATCTATTTCTTGAAAAATAAATATATTGAGTAAAACAAATTGGTAAATCTTTACAATTAGGTGTCAGGGTCAGATGTGTAGATTGGGATGGGATGCGGGGGGTTAGGTGAGACTGTAGGTGTGGGGGCCGCTTTTGAAAATCTGCTTAGGGCCCCCAAAACGCTAGGGCCGGCCCTGATCAGGAGAGCAAAGATTTGGAGAAATCACAGCGCAAAAAAGGTTTCTTATTTCATGTTTTTTTAAATCCCAAATTAAACATCTGTTAGTTGTTTTTGTGGGGAAAAATGAAGAACAGACAGTAGTTGTTATTGTTTTTCAGAGATGAGGCGAAGTGTCAGCTCTTCTCAACAGCACACGGAGGACACAGGCCACGCCCCCTACTCCTTATTTGGTCAGTGGGCGGGGCAGAGACACAGCTGGCATCCGGTAAAATTTGCCCTGATATCTGTCAATCATCCATCATTTAGCTGTTGTGTGTTTGTGTTGTGGCTGCTGATCTGATGTGTTTCATTCAGAGCGCGACGAAGCCTTCAGTGTTTGGAGTCTCGCTCCACAAGTGCGCTCAGGTGTGTTTGTCCCCGTGTTCACAGACTGCTGTGCTGACGTGTGTGTTTCTGTGTGCTAATATGAGTGTGTGTGTGTGTGTGTGTGTGTGTCAGCTTTCGGCTTCTCTCCTGAGGCCACAAGAGGGCGCATCGAGCAAACTATTACTAATGCACGTTTCTTCAAAGCGTAATAAAATAACACGACTATCTTTGAAAAAAAGTGCATAATTAAT